CAGACTGGAGTGCAGTGGCCGCTTCCAGCCACCGCAGCCTTGACCTGCTGGGCTCCGGCAGTCCTTCTGCCTCAGCCTTCCAAGTAGCTGGAACTACAGGCGCCGAGCTATGACGCCTGGCTAATTTTTGGCTTATTGTAGAGATGAGGTCTCGCCACTTTTATTATTCTTTATCTGTTTATCTCTTAGACATCCTGGGCGATTTTTTCTAAACCGCTGGAAGGGACAGTCTCTGATAAACCACAGTACAACCATCAAATCTGGAATTTTAACGTCCACTCAACACTACTATCTAGGCCACGGCTTCAGTTTTGTCACGTTGCTGAGCATAGCGGCTCACACCTGACATCACAGCACTTTGGGAGATGGAGGTGAGAGGACTGCCTGAGCCCAGGGGTTCGAGACCAGCCTGAGCAATGTGGCAAGATCTCATCTCTACAATAAATCAAAAAATTAGCTGGGCGTAGTGGCATGCGCCTGTAGTCCCAGCTACTCAGGAGGCTGAGGTGGAAGGATCACCTGAGCCCAGCAGATCCACGATGCATTGGCCGTGAGCATGCCCCTGCACTCCAGTCTAGGCAACAGAGTGAGATTCTGACTTAAAAGTAGAAAAAGGGCAACCATCTCAGGTCCTCTCCCACTGTGGGAGCTTTTCTGTCCTCTCAATAAATCCTGTTTTCTCACCTTAAAAAAGTAAATGTATTTGTGGCCTTCTTCCATGTCCAGGGTTCAGTTGCAGGACCGTGCACGGCGTCTCATTGCTGTGTCTTATCTGGATGTGTCCTCAGCCTTGGCCATTCTTGACCTTGGGATTGGTGAAGCATACATTCCTATTATTTTCTTAACTTTGTGACTTAACTTGATTCCTCTGACGTTTCCTCATGACCAGAACCAGGTTACCCGTTTCCGGCAGAACACCTCGGAGATGATGCCCTGTCCTCCCCAGTGTGTGGTCTTGGGAGGCCAGATGTCAAGTCTTTTCCTGTTGGGATCCGGCCACGGAGGCCCACTGATCATTAGGGATCAGGAAGGGCCGTTGACCCCGAGATCACTAGGATGCGTTCGGGAGCTGTTGACCCCATTTCCTCTCCCTTTTCTGCCTAGCACTACAGCCAGAAAAAACTCCTGCAAGCTCAAGCATATTAACTCTAAGACCAGGACGAACACAAACTAACTTCAGAAGCTCATTGTTCCCATTTTTCCACAGACTG